CTTGTGTTCCATAACCTGTTAAAAACCATAAGTTTTTTTCTTTCAGTGGATCTTTTTTTTTTTCAGTAGATTTTTTTTTTTTTTCAGTAGATCGTACCTTATTGTGCCACGGTTTCAGAACAAAAGGGAATAAGATCCTTATCTGAATACCCTCCCAGAACCAGTTTGTTGGCAACGCGGTGTGAGATACTGGAACGCCCTGATAGGTGCAGTAAATATGGACTTCTTTTCTCCAATCCCTCAAATCTTCTGACCATTCAGGATTTTGAAATAATAGTATACGAATGATATTTTTTGTGATTATCAATGAAGGTAATAGAATATATTTTCTAAATATTGATTGGAATAGTAATACAAAACTTCTGATTATTAGACCATAGAGAATGCTCTCCCAGGCTTCTTCGATTTGTCTAAGTCTTATTTCAGACTCGTCTTTGTTTTCCTCTATCTCTTTCTGTTCTATCGTTTTCTCAAACGCCAAAAATTCCGAATTATCAGTACCCGGTTTCCTGAAATATTCTTTCAAATATTGGGAGATATCATAGACAAGATCACCAAACAAGAACGCGTAGTCGCCCATTATCTCCAAAAAAAGAGGGGAGTGTGCAGTTCCTTGAAAGAGTTTATAAGTTACTGTTTTACGCCTTTGAGGGCGCATAGATCCTCTGATTAGGTCTCGGCAATAATCTGGTTCGCGTGAATAATGAACTACAGCAAATTCAGTATTTCTGTCCGGTTCAGCACTATTCTGATTGTCATTAGAATCTGTTTTACTATTAAAAAGAACTATACGGTCAGCTTTTGGGGAACGAATCTGAGACTCCTTTGGACTCGCGTCCATCAATACCGCCAATTCGTCGACTAAGTCGTATGACCATCGAGGAACTTCTTTACTTATTTCGTTTATTTCACTACATAGTTTTCTATTAAAAATTGTATTATTAGTAGGATCAGTTCGAATTGCGTCCAATAATAATTTTCTTTTTGTTTTTTTTTCTTCGGAATATATTTTTACTTGTTCATGTTCTGGAAATAAATAAAGTCCGTCAAAATTCAAACTTGATACTGATTTTTCCGAAAATTTACTGATTAAGTTAAAAAAAAAACCAATTTCATTTAATAATAATTTTCTATCAAATTGATCTATTTTCTGTTCAAATTCTGGATCATTACTATTAATAGAAAGAAGGAGACCATGAATCTTATTTATCAAAATGTAGTTTGTTGTGTCAGTTTCATTTGGAATGAAGGGTGAAAAGCCTTTTTGGATTTCTCCACGAACGCGTCCATTCAAGAAAGGATCATATATTTTAGTTAAGTATTTTGTTTTCCTATTATCATCAGACAATCTAATTCGATTTTCAAATACATCCACAGGACTAAATTTAATAGATTTATTATCTATCATTTTTGCCCTTTGAAAAAATTCATTGATTAGTTTATTTCCTTTTTCTTTATTAACAGAGCTCCAATAATTAGACAATTCATTATCATTATAGGAGGTTTTATCTCTTCTGAAGAGATCCATTTTTTTTTCCATGATTTTCAGAAAAGTAGATAAATGAGGTGGATACGTGAAAGATATTCGTTTTTTTCCATCACTTTGACATACCTGAAAAAAAAATTGTGAATTTTCATCTCTTACAACCCTTTCAAAGTGATCATTTTTTATATATCGCAAAGGCCTATTCCATTTTCGATAATCGAAAAGAGTAGTTACAAGAGATTTTTCCAACGGGGCGAGTTTTTTGTTGAAAGTATTCTCTTTTTTATCAGAAAGATAAACAGTAATATCTTCTTCTTCTTCGTTAGTTTCTTCCTTTTCCCAATCTATTGCAGCTTTGACTTCCTCCAGGTCCCTGTCATCGTATCGCATCATTTCCTCAATATAATAATATGGGAGCGGTGTTCTGCCTAAATAGTGTGCAAAGCTAACAAATGAAAAAACAACAAATATTTGCCCCACATAATTTCGCAATTGTAGGAGAATGTATTTATCAAATTTCATAGTTATCTTATATTTGATCGACTTTTTGTGCTGTAACCAGACTAATACCAATCCAATACATTTCATTAAAAAGATGTGACCTATTAACCACCCAACAAAACTACTTGTTAAGAATAACAATTTATTGTTGGATCGAAACAGATAAATGTTCATTAATCTTATTAAGATTGAACTTGGCAAAAGAAAGGGGTTTAATAACTGAAAAAAAAGATTGTTAAAGAATACTTTAACAATCCTAAAATGACGTATTGAATTTGGATTCTTGTATTCAGAATCCAGTTTGGATCCCGAACCCAAATAGTAGTGTTTGTCATTTTTGTGGACAAAATTAAAGAAAAGATACGGTAGAGTTAAGACTGTTATTGTATGAGGTCTACTCAATGCCAAATGCAAAGGCGCATAATATATCGATATAAACATCATGAGCTGTCCCATAATAAACCCGGTTGTTGCTGATATTTTCGTTTCAGATCCCTTTCCTAAGATTTGCCC